ACAGATTCAGTTCTGCAGAAGGTGATGTCACCAAGAGCTTCCTCCCATAGTGTACGTTGTCTCCTGCACCGTGGGCACTCTAGTATTTTTAGTCACATTTATATTTACTATTCAAGAAGAAATATGCGTTTACTATATGTTACTACTATATTTACTTTTGAAGGATAATGTCATAGGGTACAGAATTCAGACTGGTGGTTTTTTTTCTCTCAGCACTTTAAATATTCACTCCATTCTCTTTTGCTTGCATGGTTTACTGAGAAGTTGGATGTGATTCTTACCTTTACTCCTCTATAGGTAAGGCATTTTCTTCCTCTGGCTTCTTTCAGGATTTTTTTTTTTTTATCTGTGACTTTCTGTAGTTTAAAAATAATATGTATACTGGTGTTGGTGTTTATCCTGCCTGGTGTTTTCTGAGCTTCCTGGATCTGTGGTTTGGTGTCAGACATTAATTTGGGAAATTCTCAGTCACTATTGTTTCATGTGTTTCTGCTGCTCCTTCCTCTTTCTTCCCCTTCTGGTATCCCACTGTGTGTATGTCACACCTTCATAGTTGTCCCACAGTTCCTGGACATTCTGTTCTGGTTTTTTGTTTGTTTGGAGTTTCTTTTGCTTTTCAGTTTGGGGAGTTTCTATTGAAGTATCCTCAACCTCAGAGATTCTTTCCTCAGCTGTGTCCAGTCTATTAATAAGCCCACCAAAGACATTCTTCATTTCTGTTTCAATATTTTCTTTTAAAAAAAATTCTCACCTAAGGATATTTTTCTCTTTATCTTTAGATAGAGGGAGAGAGAGAGAAACATTGATGTGAGAGGGACACACTGATTGGTTGCCTCCCACACGACCCCGACCAGGGCTGGGGACCAAACCACGACCGAGGTACGGACCCTTGACCAGAATCAAACCTGTGACTCTTTGGTCCGCGGGCCAACGCTCTAACCACTGAGCCAAACTGGCCATGACGATAATGTGATTTTTTTTAAAGCTTTAGGAAGGTTTTAGAAGTTGAATGTAAATAGCTCAGGACTCCGGCAGTTGAGAAGGCATTGAGGATCCTCGCAGCTCTTTAGAATGTGGGTCAGAAAGCCAGGCTGCGGAGACAGGGTGGTCAGAGGGATGGGGAGGCAGCAGGAGTTTCAGAGTTTGCTTGGAGTTTCAGAAACTGAACCAAAGGGGCCCAACAGTGAAGTCAGGTTAGGCTCTGACACAGGTATTTTGGAGGAGTTGTGGATTTTCAGGGGGAAAAAAAATGCTCTTTTGCTACTGATTTAAGCTGATAAATGAAGTTATGCCAAAAGTACATTTTTGGCATAATTTCAAAACAATCTCTCCTAGATGATACTATGTATTTAATAATGGTTTGTAGTAGAAAATAGTAATGAAAGACTTTGGTTACACAGAATTTGTTACTCATTAGACTTGATATCTACTATCTTCATTACAAAGACCTCTTACTATTTACTTCAACACTATTTACACATTACACTCCATCTTTAACCCAATCCCATCCTCATTGTCCATCAGATCTCTGATAACTGCATTAATTGTCATTAATTTAGCACATATGACTTAATAACTATTGCAAATTGTGTAGCATTTCTTGTCAAGAATGCTGCTACTAATATTTAAGATCTACATTAGCTGACTTCGGCATAAAAATTGTCATGCCTAAAAAACAAACTGTGGACAGTACACTTTTCCTAGAAGTGCATGGTTTACGATAGTTTATAATGGAAAACAAGCAGAGTCACCATCCGTAGTAGTTCTGAAAAGAAAATATTCTTGTGGAAGCTACGGGTAGTGGTAGCAGATGAGGGAGAAATTAATTGGTTAAAAACAAAAAATGTTCAAAAAAAGAAAACCAGTGCTCATCCCCTGTTAAGAGCTATTCAGATGACAAATTCCTCGGCATGAGCTTGATCTATATGTTTCCGTGGTTATTAGTAGTAATGAAGTTGCATTAACCG